GGTGGGTTGGTTTTACAGAGAGGCGTTTGTCAGCACAATCCAAAGCAGCAACACTGCAAGCACTGGCTGGGGAAATGAGGCCTGATCCAAAGCCCATTGGAATCCATGCAAAACAACACTTAATTTTCTCTCTGAAGTCAGTGAGATGTTGACTTTTATTTCAACAGAAGCAGCTCCATGGCTTTGATATCTCTCATGTCTTTCAGAGTACTGACTGCTGCAAATTAAAGCAGAATCAAAAGCTTCTTTTTTTATTCTTTTAAGCACACAAACCCAAGTGTCAGAAATTAAAATATAAAATATCTGTGGAATAAACTCTGATGACTTAACTTTGATAAAATTAAGGCTTTTAGTGGTATTCTTAAGGGTAATAATAAAAACATATCCTTATGAAAGACTGAATATTTTAAGAGTAAAAGACTGGCTACAAGAAGGAAAGAAAAAGATGCAACTCTTTTTAATGATGGTTTATTCCACCCCTCATAATGTCCACCTTATTTGATTATCTGTCAAATCTTCTCAAAATTCAAATACACCTTACAAGATGATATGTGTTCCATGAGAGGTTTAAAACATCTTAGGGTTGTGACTGTTGCTTTTCAGAACTCAAAAAATGTTTCCGGGATTTGTAATTACAAGATCACCAGAGCTGACATTATCCCTTAATGAAGTAAAATGACACTTCATTGTGTCATTTTACTATAATGGAGACGTGACTCCATTATAGGAATAAATACAGGACCATTATTTCATGCTTTACTAAAATTAAAGTTATCCTAGACATTCTAAGATTAAAGAAAGATTTTTTTTTTTTATTCATGAGCTGAAGATTTTGAAGAGGCTGGTGCTGACTAGCTGGTCTGTCTCTCTATGAAATTGCATTTAGCAAAGTGTCTTAGGAAATGAATTGATTAATGTTGAATGATACCAGGAGCAATAGATCATCCTGTGCCCATATTTGGTGTATTATTAGAAATTCCACATAAGCAAAATCCTTTTTAGCCTCAGGGAGATTTAGCCAGCAAAGACATGTGAAGGAGTGAAATTTCCTAGATTTGTGTTGGTAACATGCATCAAACAATCTGTAACTGCTGTTTGTTAAAAAAACAGAGAAAATACAAATGGAAAACTAAAACCACCCCCACACGTGCCCAAAACCCAAACAATAATATTTGCAGGGAGGGAAGAAGGACTAATGCTAGCAGCCTGGGGGTGTTACTGACCAGGTGTGCTGAGGGATGGCTTGTCAGAACTCCCAAAGGACAGAGGCAACACAGGGCAAATGCAAACCCTGGCAGCCGGGAGAGCCCCACAAAAATCCTGTTTCTGCAGCAGCAGCACTGAGTGTGGGACAAACTGCTCACAGAAGGAAGGCAGGATGATGAAGGATCCATCCCCAAACTTCCCTAGCTAATGAACTTGGAGCCCCTGTGGGAAAAAGGCTAGAAAATTAGCTATGTATGCTTCACCAGTAGTTCTGTCTGCTTTTTCTAATGAATCAAAGTGTTTTGAACTCTGCCTCAACAGACCTATATAAATCTGTTAATGTGCTTGGAAACTAGAACACAAATGTTTTTTAGGAGGTGTCTCACACTGGAATAGTTCCTTTATATGCTAAGGGTACTATCTGATACACCCAGGACTGGGTAGGAAGGGCTATTTTCTGCACATGTGGTAAGAAAATCCAGCTATTCCAGGCCCCAGGAAAATTACATGCTCCCACATAAAGAATCCAGCTTCCTTTCCTTAGATCTGTTTTCTTTTCCTCACTCTGTAAAGCAAAATCCCTTTAAAAGAACCACCCTAATGGCTTTCTATGTTGATATAAACCAAAAAGCATTAATGAAGGAAGAGAACATGAAAATTTGTATTTAACTACTGAATCTCACTAGAGATGTGTACGATGAGCAACTTCAAACCAAGAGTGGGAAAATACCCATAGTGGCATTTCACATGATGCAGCAGAACATTAGCCTCATACGAGGGTTTCATTCCTCATAACCCCCATAAGGGGAGGAACCCCTATTCTCTGCACCCTACAGATCACAAACTGATGCATGATGAATTCTCCAAGTCATAAAGAAAATAAATGATTGATGAGGGATGGTCTCAACATGGTCTCCTGAGAGCCAGGCCACAACCAGGCCTCCTATATGAAAAAATCAGTTAACTTTGAAGATACCCACAGTTCATCAGAAAGGATCAGACAAGTTGTTTGAAAAAGAAACACAAGAAGGACTTTTATTGTGCTGGATATGTAGATAAGAATCCATTTACAAGAATTTGAACAGACAGACTTCCACACTTCAGGAAAGGGAGTGCTGCACATCACCAGCCACAGAGAGGGATCAATATCCTGTGGGAGTCCAGGGCATCCCTCTGGCTGCCCTGGCAGGTCTGGGACCCTGGCAGGGGTCAGGAATCCCCCTGTACAGAGCTCCCAGAGACACTGTCTGTGATCTCTGTCCATGGAAAAGAGTTTTCAATCTTATAGGATGAATTACAAGCTCTGAGTGTTTGATATGAGTAATAATTAAGTGTGGCACGGGTGCAAAAGTAAAATTTTAGGATTCTAGATAAGGGGTCCAAAGGGATCAAGATGGAGGAAATTGGGTGTGCCTTGTCCTTTTTCTCCTTCTTCATGCCCTCCATGTTTCACTGTGGTGTTGGCATTTTTCTGTTGGTTCAGGCTGGGGACACACTGTCCAACGTAGGTGACATATCTTGGCACGTTATTGTAAATCCAGCCCAGGGAGTTTCTGGTATTTAATGTTTGTAACATCCCACTGAGGGCAGAGCCCCACACGCTACCCTGCAGGACAGAGCTGGGCAGGGCAGCAGAACATGGTAGAGATAAACAGAATAAACAACCTGGAAACCAGCACAGACAAATTACGAATTATTAACAACTGAAGTTAATACAGCTGGATTGTTTTTTGTAAGAACCATTCTTACTCCTTTTCCCTCTCCTTTCAGTGGAGGAGAACAGGCTAGAATTGAACAAAGCAGCTACACGGTTAAAAAAAAGGAACTTGGTCTCAGGAAAGCAAGGCTGTGCAGCCCCCAGGGAAGTTACTCTTACCCTTTTATGCTTGTGTGTCCCACACCTCAAAGAAGGGAGGGTGGGCTAGGATATCCCACAGAGTCCCATGTAATGCCAGATTGGTGGCTCCTGATTAATGCTTATTAATCTAATCTTTAACTGATGTGTGATCATCTTAGCCCAGAGTGACTAGACTTTATCTCATATATTATCTCAGTTATGTTTTCCTTTGGAGAGCAGTAGGTGTGACTGTGAATAAAGAATTTCTTAATTTTGGTTAAGTAACATCTAATGAAACATAATTTTTAAAGAAGGTTGTGATAATAGTTTAGTGTGAATTATACAGTCATCTTTCAGCCACTTTCAAAGATCAAAACGTTAAGGACAATGAGTAAATACACTACTTATAGTTAATAAACAGCAAGGTTCCTGCTGGTCTTCATGCAGCTCCTGATAATGCAGAAAAATTTTGGAAGAACTTGGCAGGAAAGGGTTATCTTTGTATGGACTTATTTATTTTTCTGAGAAGTGAGGAGGGGAAGAGGACAGTTGTGAAGGTGAACAGACATGTGAAAGATTGGTGCTCTAAACATCTTTCCTAACCGAAAAGAAACATCTATCCTAAAGAAAGAAGTTTTGGAATATTTCCCAGTAGGGGCTAAAGTCTTTCAGAGTTTATATTTTCTGGGTTCTCTAGAGTTATGAGCAAAAGTCTGTTGCTGCTTCAGCGCAATTTCCTCACTCTCAGTGGTGGACTGAAACTAGCAAGACTTTGTAAAAATTATATAAATATGATTTCTTTCATATACCCATGCCCCTTTGTTAACTAAAGATCACTTTTTTCCCTGGAAGTTTGCCAAGAGGATTTTCTCATTCCTTGTTCTTGCCTTCCCCAAGGCTGCTAAAGATGATAGTCTTTTAGATAAGAGGGAAATGCTATGCACCATTTTTTCTATATTCTTGCTTTTATCACTTGGAGGAAAAAGTACAGTTAATCTCCTGAAGTTAAATCAGCAGACAAACATATTGCAATTCAAAGTTAATCATTGAGCAAAACTTGGCTTCAGCCAAGCACAATGCAGAAAACTAGAAGACAAATTTCAACCCAAATGAGAGGTATTTTCTTCAACAAAATTCTTGCCTTAAGGTCAACAAGTTTTTTTTTGAGAGTTGGCTAAACCACTTGGGTCACTATAGATTATGTTACATTCAGCTGTGCGTGGATGAAAAGGGCCACATTGACACCTGTTTTCCCTCCACGTTATCCAAAACCACTTCAAATTTGGCTCAAGCGTGAAAAGGGTCAGAGCTCACGGCATGGCAGGCCGAGGGTCCCGCTCCCTTGCTCTGCCCAGCCTCCTGCAGCACCACTTCGGTGTAGCGACTGTGTGGCACATGCCAAAACATTTATGACGGCTGAGGTTACCTATAAAGTGGGCCTGCGGGGCTTTAGGTTAGCTGATACGGGCTTTAGCTCATTTGCCCTTTCTGTTGCAGCACTTCAAGTGACTCCTGATTGTTTTTCTTTTTTCCTTTTCCATGCAACTTCACATCTGCCGTCAGCAGGATGTTACTGTTGATGGGAGTCGCGCAGTCACAGCGCCAGCGCTGCCAGCTGATCTTGAACTTTCTCCCCAGCGGTTTTCTATTTGCCTGCTGACCGAAACCTTGAACCTGCCGAATATGCGACAACCTTTATTCCTCCTCAAAACCAGAACTTTAGCAGCCGAGAGGCATCGCCCCGGGCTCCCCATGCCGCGCCGTCCCTCACAGCGCTTCCCTCATGGCAGGTGGGGCCGCTTCGTCCCGCTCGGGGCGCGAAACCACCGGAACGAGAAAACCCCACGGAAACCCCGCTCGGGGCAGCCGGGGCCGGGGCTGGAGCCGGGGCCGGGCCGGGGCTGGAGCCGGGGTTGGTGCCGGGGGCGGGCGGGCCGCGGGCCCCGCCCCGAGGCCGGCGAGCTCGCCCGGGCAGCGCCGGCAGCATGAGGAGCGGCGGCGCCGCTGCAGCCGCTGGGGCCGCGGGACGGGCGGAGCAGGTGCGGCGGGGCCGGGCAGGAGCGGGGCCGCGGGCGGGCGCGGGGCACGGGGGACCCTCCGCGGGCGGCAGCGAGCGAGCGAGCGAGGGAACGAGGGAGCGCCCCGAGCCGGGCTCTGCTCCGCAGGCGGCGGCGCTCGGGGCCGGCCGGGCTGTGCCCAGCCGGGCTGTGCCGAGCCGTGCCCAGCCGAGCCGTGCCGGGCTGTGCCGAGCCCGGTTGTACCCAGCCGAGCCGTGCCCAGCCGGGCTGTTCCGGGCTGTGCCATGCCGGGCCGTGCCGTGCCGGGCTCTGCCGGGCCGTGCCCCGCTGGCGGGTCCGGGCGCGGCGCTCCCGGAGCCCTCCCGGGCGGTGGCACCGCGCTGGCTCGGACGGCCACGCAGGAAAAGTCAAAGTAATCTTTTCGCTCTGTGAGTCGCCTGCGATTAGGGTACCCTGCGATTAGGGTGAAGAGAGCCGAGCGCTTTCCAAAGCGTGTTACAACGCTGGAGCGGGCTATTAGTTTGGACGCGTCCTAATGGATGTGTTAATCAGCCTAACATCCTTCTCTGCTCACCTTTTTGGGCTAATTGAGGATGGCATCTGCTGATTTTCTCTTTGAGCTTCGAAGTGTTTGTTAATAGTGATTGTCTTGTCGCGTTAGCTCCGTTTCTCATCTGTAAATCCAGCATGTGACTTGAATTCAGATCGCTGGCTCGTGGGGTGGTGATTGTGCGTTTATTTGCCCCTACGCCTGTAAGGTTGAGCCAGTATCAAAAAGTTTTAAGTTCTCTCTGAAGCTTATTGAAAAAGATCTGGAGGTCTCTGTCGACTTTAAAAACTGTTTACAACTGGCAACCCTGTTGGTGCCTTGAGGCAAAATGAGATCCGAGCATGGAAATGGGACTGCATTTTATATCTAAAGATGGTCCCTTGCAGGTCAAAACGGAGACGTGTTGGTAGGGACAAAAAACTTCATGGGAGCGTGGACTTTTTTTTTTCTTCTTCTTCTTTTCCCTGCCTTTCTTTCTGCCTTTCTCTTTAGAGACGCTAAACCTTGCAGTAAGGTGGAGCACTGCGGTTCTCTGCTGCCAGTCCCAGCTGCCCCCTCTCTGACTCTGCTTTTGGTTTTGAGGAAGTTCTTAATCTCTCTGTGACTCAGTGTTCTAATCTTTAAAATGGCTTAATAAGACTTGTCACGCTTGCCTCCCAGGAACATTAACATCTAATTGATGCTCACGAAGTGCCTTGATCTGTGAGAAAAGAGGGCATCTTGCTTCCCTCATTTCGCCACTTTATTTTGGGTGCTAATTATATCACACGGGTGGAAAACAGATTGTCTGACAGCCTGGAACTGGAATTGGTGTCTGTTCTCATTGACACAAGCACTCTGAGTGTATGCCCACTTATGCTCAGTTTGAGGTGTCCGGATGTTTCTAAAAACGGCGGGGTTTATCCTTTCTGGAGGATGCGTCTGGGAAATTGCGCTGAAGCAGCAACAGACTTTTGCTCATAACTCTAGAGATACTACACAGTTTTTTCTTTGTGTATTATGAGGTCAGTAAAGGTTTTAAGAATTAAAACTGTCGACTCAACTCTCAGCATGTCCCTGATCTTAAATCTTACTCTGCCTGAATCTTACCTTAGTCTCTGTTTTTGTCATGTTTTACTTCTTTAGAAATAGAGAAAACAGACAAGCTTACAGTTTTCTTCTTGAAAATGCAAGCTTTAGAATAGAAAGTGTATCTTTTAAATCGTTTTACTTGCTGTTCAAAGGAGTAATTAGCCACTTTACTCCCTGTGACTTGAATCTTGCCCCACCTCCTCCTTATCGCTGCTGCCTCCCCCTCGGGCAGATAGCAGAGTCTCCAGTGGCAATAGCAAGGATCTGGGATGATGGGGTCACCATTAACACAGACCAGAAGACATCAGTATTCATAAATCAGCTGATGTGAGTGGACACCCTGCCTTAACAGCACCGCCACCATGGGCTTTTTCACCTAAAACTTGAGGGTGCAGAATTCTCAGTCCTTTCCCTACATCTTGGTTCCTCTGTGAGCTGGGAGGCTGCTTTGAGACACGGCATTTGACTCATACGTTGGATTCGGTTCTCCTTTTCAGCATTGTTGCTGCAGTATTGTCCTTCCCCACTGCTAAATGGACCTGCAGCGTTGATACCTGACAAATGCACCTTCTAAAACGCTGTTTGATGCTTGTTAGTGCCGTTCTTTTCATGGTACAAGGAAAAAATACTGCAGATGCATCGTAGAGTGTGTGGTGGAGAAATGAAGTTCTGAAGGGAAACTGAAGCATGCTTCATTCCACTTCCTCTTGCCACGTGGTTCTGCTGCAAGTGATGTAACTTTTCTTGCCCTGTCTGTAAAATCAGGTGAATTCTTAACAAATTAGTATAAAGGAGAGCATATAACAATGGGAAATCGTATCCGTTTCACTCTGAATTTCTGTTTTGTTTGATTTTAGTTAATTGCCTCAATGTTGCTCTGCAGTTGTATGGCATTACCAGATCCATGACAGGGTGGTGCTGTTTGTGGGGAGATCAGATTTCCTTCAGTTTTGCCTAGAATCTAGATGGATGATCTGGAAAGGGCTTGTTTTTATTAAGATATGCCGAAGCAGGGTTTTCTAGTCTCCTGCTGATATCCCATTCCTTGTGGAGGTGAGAGAGCCTATGTTTTGGCTGGAGATGTTCTTTAAGTGTGAGAAACCATAAAACAGGAGAGGTGATTGCTCTCCAGTTTCTTCATGAGTATGCTTTAAGTCTTTCACCTCTTTTAGCACATACCTTGTATCTCCTCCAGCTGTCTCACTGCTGTGGTATTTTATAGCTAGTATCTTGAAAAGAGAGAAGAAAAGTGAAAACTTTGAAATGCTATATGTTTCCCATTGGGACTCTTCCATGTGGCTGTGCCATTTGTTGTGAATGCTTGGTAACCTGTGTCTGTTTCTTTGCCTCACTCTGATTCCCCTGATGTCAGCAGAAAAGCTCTCTTTCCTAGCGGAAGAGGCTTTGCTTCTTAAGGGCACTGTGGTTTTTGATTCCCTTAAATTGAAGACAATTTCAGGTGTCTGAAACTGAGATCTGCCTCCCAATGGTCCTTCTGTTTTCTCAGTTTGCTCACATGTTGGATCCAGAGTCGAGGAGCTACAGAAAGGCTGAGGGGATGCTGCCTGTGCTGGCAGCCTGGCTTGCATCCATCTGTGTAATAGATGTATACCTGTACAATAGGAATTTGGTGTGTGCATTTTGTGTGAGAGCAAATTCTTGGCTGCACCTTTCCTGTTCAAGCTCTTTCTCTGTGAGGAGCCCATGAACTTGAAAAGCACAGCCTCTACTCTGTGTCTGGAAGCTCAGCTCTGCAGGGAGGGCACACTGCTTGTTTCTCATCACTGGGACCAGTTTTAGAGGAGATTATACAGCAAACTGACTCTTTCGGAAGTGGTGTTACTAGTTTAGGGTACATTAGACTGATTCCAGAAAATAAAGATGTTCTAAATCAAGGCTATTAAGTGTCCACTGATTCAGTCACTGTGCAGATACACAGTTAATATTGTATTGTGACACATTCTGAAAATTGCTGTGTTTATTTTTGACCTGGAGAAGATGACTAATGCTTTCATGCATGCATAGTTACATGTACAAGCAAGTAAAAACTTCCCCAAAATTATCTTTAGATTCCTGGTTCTATGAAAGGAAAAAAATTCAGACTTGTCCCTAAATCTGAGCTGTTTTTGCTTTCAAGCCTTCTTTCTGCTCTGGGTTGATAACCCTGTGTTCAGTGGGAGTTATGTTTTCGGAGGTTTTATTATGTCCTCCAAAGTTTTGTGAACAATTTACTGTGTGGGAGAGGAACACAAGCAACCCCATTCTGTGTTAGGAAAGGTAGGTGATACCACAACACAAATTAGAAAGGCACTTTGGCTATAGCTTATATTTAGTTAAATTCTGATTGTTCTTATTTCAATGTCCCAGTAACACTGATGTAATTAGGAGAAAACTTGGGTTTGTTTTTTCTTGCTTTTGGCCCCCTAGAGTTGTGATGGCAAAACCTGGTGAGGCAGGTGTTTTATGGAATTGTGTGATGGAATTATGTGGATTAAATTTAAACTTTTGTTCTTGGCTCTGGCATCTCCTCTGCCATGCTCTGGAGAATAATGGCAGCAGTTTCTCCAATTGTTGCATTCTACCAAGGGGACGTCACCAATTCAGTTTATAAAATTACTGTGCCTGGCATTGTGTGTTGTGGAATTTTAGCTTCCTCAAAAGCAGTTTCTTTGGACCCATTAGTCCACGATAAATCCTTCTCAGTCCTTTTAAGCTCGCAGTTTATTGCCTGTTTAGACTTCTATTGTAAATGCAGGCAAACCCAATGGGCAGAAATGATGATGTCCGACTCAATTCAGAAGGTTGAATGATTTCTTTATTATAATTATGCTAAAATACATCAATATACTATATAAAAGGAGGATCCTAAAACTACATGCTACTTACTCTAACACAACCCATGACCCTCTCTGAGAGCCCAGCCCCAGGTGGGTTGGATTGGCCATCAGGCTCAAACAATCCTCACCAGAATCCAATCAAGCACTCACTCCAGGTAAACAATTCTCTAAACACATTCCACATAGGAAAAACAAGGAGCAGAACTAGAAATTGTTTTCTCTTTCAATTCTCTCTGTGCACCTCTGTGAAAAATCCTGAGAGGGAGAGAAATGTGCTTGCCCCAGACTTCAGTAATGCCCAAAGGGGTGCTGCAGTTCATCGTTCTCTATTGCTGCCATCGCCAAGCATCAAAATAGAATTTCTGAAGCCATGTGAAATTTTTGTTGGGAATAAGCAGGGATGCTTTGTAATCAACTTTAAATAGCCCTGTGGTAATTCAACAGACCTTAGACCACCCTTCCAGTACCAAAAGGGGCTACAAGAGAGTTGGAGAGGGACCTTTTACAGGGGTAGGTAATGATAGGATGAGAGGTAATGGCTTTACACTGAAAGAGGGCAGGAT